AAAATAGCCCAGGGCCTAAGAATAGCCCTCCGTTTCAGGCTGGAAAAACTCTGGGTCTGAAAGACCCAGAAATAGGCTGAAACGGAGTAGGGCCTGCAGGCCCTCGTTTTTCAGTTTTCAGGCTGAAATGACCGGGGCCTGCAGATCCTAAGTTAGGCTTTTAGGCTGAATGTCCGGGACGGGTCCTACAGGGCCCGTGTGGCTACGCAGTACGCCACATCACCTATGGGGCGCAAGTATGGGATGAACCCACTCCAGCACTTCTGACTTCCCAGTTGGATAGGAACTACACTCCTTCCCCTCAAAATTTTCAGTACAAATGAAAAAGAAAAGTGTGTTTGTAGTACAAGATGAACCCACTCCAACGCTTCTGACTTTCCAGCAGGATAGGACGTGGACTGATGCTCCCCAGAATGGATATGGAGCTGGAACCATAAGGTCTGTTTTTTCCGGGCAAAAAAAGAAGAAAAAAGAAAAGAAAGTGAGGGTTTGCCGGATGCTCCAATTGAGACTTACGTGAAGCTTCCGGAGTACTGTCCCAAATTTGGAGCGATCGATGCCCAAATGCAGAATACAATGTGAATCTGTGTCAACACACAACTCAGTTAGAACAGGTTCATAGTGAGGCTGTTCGAACCACGTTTTTTTTAACCCATTAAAACCACATTTTCACCACATTTAAACCGCATTTAAAACTCATTTACATGGTCTCAAACCATTCCAAAGTTCAAAAACACGTCCACCCGCCAACCCCATTGGAAGATTCGTCATCAGGAACAAAAGACCTGAGGCTCCCATGCACAAATTTCTGAGAATGCAGCTATGGATGCAAGGGTAGCGATCACCTCCGTGTTCATCAGGACATCCCCATTGAAAATGGCACGATACAGAAGATGAGAATGCCCCATGCACACGAGGCGGCCGGAAGCAAATATAGAAATGAGCAAATGGCTCAAATGGCAAAACACAAAGGAAGGGCAATGACCCTCGTGGTGATAAATGTACCATCGTGCTATGCACATGATTTGTGCTGTGCATGTGAAATGATTGACGTTTGTCCAGTGCCCGCTATATATGTGCAGTGTCTAGAAAATTCTACATGTTCTGTTTGCTGGAAATGCTAAAACTTAGAACACTCTGAAACTGTGCTCGCAACTCAGGCCCTGAGCACTACCGCCTTCACCCGAATAGAATGCCTGGTAATTATCGCCGTATCTGGGCTGAAAGTTGTGCCAAATATGGCTATAACGACCGGGCGTTCTATTCGGGTGAAGACGGTTGGACAGACCTGTAGTCTGCAGGACCTTGGGGATACAGCCGCAAGTGAAGAAAGGAACAGGGAAATAATTTGGAAATTACTACGGCCTTCTCCCGACCACAACGTATGCTCAACATACACAGTAAGTCCCCGTACATTTTAATTTGTTTATGCTCGACATACACAGTAATGTTCAAAATACACAATAAGTTCCCATACATTGTAATCTGCTTATAGAATGTACGATGATCATATTAGGGCACTGCGTTATAGAATGAGTTGTAGCCAGAAAGGGCAAAAAGGACTGTGACAGATTTTCGTCGCAGTTTCACCTACTGATGAGGTGGTTGAACCCCATATAGATAAAAATAACCAGTCCTTGAAGTGAAAGGATTTCAAGCATCTCAGAGTCCTGGTCCCAAGTTCCGAGTCCCGGCCTCCCATTTATCATAAGCCCAATCGGTAGGTGCCGTAGGCCCGGTCCGTACAACAAGTCAGGAGGTCTGTGGGTCTGCACACTAGGTCTGTAGATCAGAAAATCTGGTAAGCCCAGTTTGTTACCAGTCTGCCAGCTGTCAGCCTGCCAGTCCAGTGCAGGGTTGTCCTGGGAAAGTCCGTCAACTTCCGGATGCGCTGGAAACCGACCCTGGCCGGCAGCCAAGGCGTAACGGTCCTGAAAGGTTCAAGATCGGCAGCTGCAACAAGTACAAAAGTCCAGCAGCGGTGAGCGTGAACACAATTTCCATCCGGGGCTGTTGCTGAAGCGCTGTTGCAGAATTGTCCAGTTGTGCATCGAGTGAGGATGAGAGGCAGAGTAGACAACCGAAGGCGAGTCAGAAGTGAGAGGCAGAGTAGACAACCGAAGGCGAGTCAGAAGATATCAAGTGAGAGGAAGACATTCACACACACACACACGCACACACACACACACACACACACACACACACACACAGAGAGAGAGAGAGGCCTGAGACGAGAGAGGAGTAGTAGTATGGTGCGAGTTGTCTGGCAGCCCGAATGTACACACACGAGACTTGATGTATAAGATTTGAACTTTGGAGCAATCTCCAGAGTGTCCTCATATCGTCTCAGTGTGCATCTCGCGTGTGAAGCTTTGTATAAGTGTGTACAGTGTGGGATCGTTGCAAAAGGGAGAAAAGAAAAATAAACAGGGGGCTGTGACAGGCTGTTTTGACAGAGTTCCACCAGCTCATCAGCATGCTGAACCCTCTACAGTCTGCAGAGTCCCCTAACCGATAATACTGTCATCCACCTTAACCGCAGTTGCAGTTCTTCTCAACTTTCATCCCATCGAAGAGACCTACTTCTATGCGTTGGGGGGAGGGGGGGGGAGAGAGAGGAGTGATGTGTGTGTGTGTGTGTGTGTGTGTGTGTGTGTGTGTGTGTGTGTGAGAGAGAGAGAGAGAGAGAGAGAGAGACGCCGTCATATTCATATATAGACGTGAGTTGTATTCAAACATACCATATGTACTAGATTTTTTAGTGAATCTTAAATATTACGTAGATACTTCATATTGGGTCGCTCCATTCACGTCGAGGAGAGCAGGAGGAGGTTGAAGTAGTAACAGCCAATGAGTTCTTTGTGCACTTCATATTTGGTCGCTCCATTCACACCGAGGAGAGCAAAAGGAGGTTGACGTGGTGACAGCCAATGAGTTTTTTTGTGTGCTAAGGCTTCTTCACTCCATAGGCAGTGGAAGAAGACGGAAGAAAACAACCAAGGGACAGAGCACTCACGGTAGGACCCCTGTGAAGAAGTTCTGGGGAGACAGCAAAACACATATAATAAGGACGATGGGGCTGGCAGGTGATGGAAAAGGTGGGAGGGGGTGAGTTGGGGTGGTAACAGCGTCAAAGGAGGTTCAATGGGGTGAGAGGGGAGCATACCAGATACATGAGAAAGAAAAATCCGTACGTAAGGGCGCTGTCTTTCCTGCAAAGACAACAGGACAATGCCAGTGCCACAAACCATTAGTAATCCAGGTTATGTGGTCATCTGATTCCATTAGCGATTCCATTAGCTGTACCAACCAGCCTAGCACAGTTGGTACACCCATGAACTGTTGAAATACAGATCCAAGTTCGAATCCAGATGCAATCAGATGAACATAACAAAACCATTCTGAATTACCTGGGGCTGCTCAGTTCAATCATCAAATGATGATATCGCAAGGCCGCCGCCATTTTAAAAGAAGAGTGATTCCATTAGCTGGCTAAAGAGAAAAGCAGATAATCTCACAACTATCCATTTGTTGGGATTATGCACTTCAGCAAACAATGACATGCAGACTGTTCCCCTTGCCAACTCCCAAAAGGAAAAGAAAAGAACCCAAACCAGTAATCCATAATCACCCACATCGCCCCCTCCCTCCCCCTTTGTGGCTGAATGTTACACACATGTAACTGTTATCATGAGTTCGAAAACTTGGAATCGTGATGGAATCGGATGGATATAAAAAAAAGTACTGCTTCAGAAAAAGTCTCTATATCTCAGCAATTTTTTGTTGGATAGAATATGGCTAGAGGCTACCCTCTTCACAGAACAAAAGGAAAGGACAAAAAGACACTCACCTCGTCACATTATACTATCGTCTTCACCCGAATAGAACGCCCCGTAATTATGGCCGCAGATGGACTGGAAGTTGCACCAAGTACAGTTATAATGACCGGCCGTTCTATTCGGGTGAAGATGGTAGTGTGTGTTTACACCACAGCAGCAGGACAGCATGGCACAATACAAGTGGTTGCAGTCGCCTCGTTGCCAAGTCTGTGATGGGCCAGCTTCCTGAGTCTTTGACCGGGAGCTTCCGTGTCCAATTCAGCTTTGTTGAGGATCGACGAGACAAATTTTCAAGTTTGTGAAGAACAAACCTTACATAATAGAGGTGCGAAGCACAGGCTAATAACAGCTCTTGGACATTACAAGTTTGAATCCTGACGGAATCACAGGGATACAACAGAAAGGCTACCGTCTTCACCCGAACAGCACAAACGGGAACTACCGCTGCATTTAGGCTGAAAGCCGCTCCAAATACAGGTGCAATGAGCGTACGTTCTATTTGGGCGACGACGGTAGGGGCTAGACCGTTTTAGGAAAACGAAAGAGAAATCACTCACCTCATCGCATTATACAGGCGTTTGTACCAGAGTATCCATGCAAGAGGGACAGCAGTGCCAAGGTAGATTAATGCAAAAATGAACTCCACAAAATCTGCACAAGGAAGTGATCAAAACGGGTTATAAGAAAGAGAAGAACACTGATTCTGATTAACAGTCGAGATATGCATTATGGTTCTATTTCGATTTATTTGGCATTTCTATTTATTTGTCATTACGTTACTTGAAAGGATTCACACTGCAGACACCCCAGTCCCGCTCCTAGAGTCCTGAAGTGTCCAAGTCCCAGGCTGTCCCAGTAGGATACGCCGTAGGGTCTATAGTCCGAAGCGTCGTAGGTTGGAAGGTGTCGGTACCAAAAAGTCCTAGGTAGTAGTCGGTAGAAATCCATCCGGTACCCGACAAGAAAAGGCCAGATGAGTCCAGTCCAGTCCGACAGTCCCAAGTCCAATTTTGCAGCATGTCCCAGGAAAGTCCGGAGGCTACCAGACCAACAAAATGTTTGCAGCAGACAGGCCGCGGCCAACCGGTACCGATCTGAAGCAGGCCAAGTCAAGACAAGACAAGTCAAGCCAAATCCTACATTTAGCTGCCACAGCACAGCGGCTCATCACTTGTTCAGTTGCGCGATGCGGAAGCACTGCTGCTGCTTGTGTGTTTAAGGCAACTTAGGCTGCGCGCCGGAAGAAGAAGAGGGCGCTCGCGAGTGACTCGATAGCTCTGTTAGGGTTAGACCAGGAGGACGGCTGCCATAGCTGCCAAGGTATAAGATTACCTGAGTGGGTGTATTCAGGGTGACGATCTAGGTTAGAGAGAGGAGAGGGGGAGTGAGGCAGAGCGAGCCAAGTCAGAGAGAGAGAAGCAAGACGATAGAGAGAGGGGAGAGAGAAGCCATAGCCACGATCTGGTTGAGACCCGTTGTGTGTGTGGAAGCGGCCGAGCCACTGGAGACGAACATTCTTGGACATTGATAATAATATTGGAGACATCTTCAAGTGTTGATTGTATCTCAATTTGGCTTCTCGTCACTCGTGTGTCAACTCTCATATGAATGTTCATTGATGTATGCGAGCTTGAACTTGACGAGTACGTGGCTCATTTCAGTAGCAAACGGTATACATCACTGTGTCATTTAACATGGGTGTCCTACCGAGCTACGTCCCTTGGTAATACTCGGCCATTAGATACGAATTACCTTTGGAACTAACTTCACTACCGTCAGGTCAAATATCAGTAAGTATTAAGTAACCAAAGATCAATCTTTGATCGATCTTTACCTTTGAAACTAGGTTCAGTACCATCAGGTCACTGATCAGTGAGTAGTGAGTAACCAAAGATCAATCTCCGATCGATCTTCGATTGGTCTTTCATGAATCTTTGATTGGTCTTTGATTGACCTTTCTTTTTTTATAATTCTGAGGGGTAACAGTCCGGTTACTTGTCCCCGGCAAGCATGTTTGTACAAATATGGGGGAGAATCAAAGATAGGAGGGGCAGCCTAACCCTTGTGGCCCTAAGGAGGATCTTTGATTACCCTTTCATTGGTAGTTGATTATTTTTTGGTTAATTAGAGCAGGTAACTCCTGTGTTTAACATACACACATGATGTCCACTGCGATATTTGGTGAAATACACGATGCTATAAATGTGGATTAACCCAACCACGATCCCCGCAGTAGACTTCCTTGGCATGCATACATGGAAGTAGCCACAGCCTCCTTGAACACCTCGTACTGATTTCCAGATTCAATACCTGGACCATTTCTCCCTTTGGGAACACAACAAACCTACCCGTGCACATGTTACGTTGAAGACCGACACTCGCAACATACCAGTTTTGAGGTGGGTGCATGCAACCCATGGATTGGGTTATATATCTGGGCCTGAAGAAACATCGGGAAACGCAGGTTATGAACTGAAGACGCGCTGAAAACCCTGCGTGGTGTTATCCAGCAACCCACAGAGACATCCAGGGGACATAGGGTGAGGGGCAGAGGCCCCATTGGTGCTACTATATCCATGATTGGAAAGCATGAACATGGACTGTCGGGGTTGTGCTTTCCTAGCATGAACATAGCCACCAACAGGGCCTGTCCTGGAACTAGTTAAACCACCGGTACATCCAAAAAGGCAGATTGAGCCTCTCCTAAAAGAATAGGAGGTCATGAACAGCGGATTCATTTTATCTACTGTCCATGGCCTCTGAATTTTTAGGCGAGGCTCAATCTGCTTTTTCGGATGTACTGGTGGTTTAAAATTCTTCAGTAGTACAAATACCTAGGCTACCAGTGTCAACAAGCCGGCTGGCCCACTCGGGGCAACCGGCCCGGGTAAAACCTGGCGACCAGTGTTGCACCCACCGACGGTCGGCGGACCTTGACTGGTCGGCACCTACCAGTCGGGGGTCGGCGGCACCCCATAAAAAAAAGGGGTCCAGAAACCCTAATAACACCACCAACACCCCCATAGCAGCCCTCTTTAACCCCATACACCCCCCCAACAGCCCAACACCCTCATTACCCCCCTATACCCCCGATACCCCCCCCTATACTCCAACTCTACCCCCCTCATACCCCCCCGCATCCCCAAAAGTTTCTCAGCGGATGTGGGCTGACCTCAGCAAACATAGTACGGCC